ATAGGAGACTCATTAGCCTATAGCCAAGAGCATTAATCAATAAGATCCGTAGGTTTAGATTATATTGCCATTGTATTTGGTCGATTAGTCGAGTTGCCTGAGGTTGGAAATTGTGAGGTTATCTCCATCCTGATGCCTCGTGTGGATGGGATTGTGAGGGTGTCTGTGTGTGAGGGGGGTGTCTGTGTGTGGGTAGGGGAGGTGTCTGTGTGTGTGGGGGGTGTCGGTGTGTGGGTAGGAGGTGTCTGTGTGTGTGTGGGGGGGGTGTCCGGTGTGTGGGGGGGGTGTCGGTGTGTGTGGGTGGGGGAGGGTGTGTGTGTGGGGGGGGGTGTCGGTGTGTGGGGGGGGGTGTCGGTGTGTGGGGGGTGTCAGTGTGTGGGGGGTGTCGGTGTGTGGGTAGAGGTGTCGGTGTGTGTGGGAGGGTGTCGGTGTGTGTGGGGGGGGGAGGCGGATGATGGTGTCTTGTGTATATGGTGCTTAAGTTTTAACCCAATTAGCAGAGAGGAAAGGGGAATATTGTTTAATATTTAGTCGTCCTCGAATAATGGTTCGCTGTTATGAGGAATTTGAAGGGATAATGGAAGGAGGAAGATAGGAAGAGAGAAAGTGTGTGTGTGTGTGTGTGTGTGTGTGTGTGTGTGTGTGTGTTCGTATAAGAGAGAGAATAGTAAAGCGATAAATAAAAACTGAAGTAAAATGATTAGAATAATATATTTTAAACCCAGATCTGAATATTGCAGCGTCAACACTTCTCACTATCACACAGACTACTTTATAAGATTATTCTTTTTTTTTTTACGTGTATGGGAGGAGGGGAAGGGAGAGAGAGAGGTTAGATTTCAACATATTTACAGGTTCTCCCTCCTCCTCCTCCTCCTCTAGAAAATTCCTCTCCCTCCCCCTCCCTCTTCTATTTATGTGACACCCTGCGCCGTAAGAACATCCTGAAGGGACTCTGGATCCGAATATCGTAAGATTTCCACAAGAAACTTCTGGGGTTGAAGTTTGGGGAAAATTCAGCAACTCTCCAATTTCCTTGTGCAGCAGGGCGGTGACACCCTAAGATAGATGATGGAAGCCATACGCCAGAGAATTTCAATAAGGGTTTGGTTGTTCTGCCTCTTGGACTCAGCCGGCCAGAGTCCTCCTCCTCCTCCTCCTACGCTATTGAGTGACACCAAATTATTAAAATACAAGAAGAAAATAAGAAAATTGGTCCTCTTGTTCCTTTGTGATGACACCTTTTGATACTCCTGAATTGACTTAAGAAATGTGTGGGATGCGGCTTCACCTCTCAGCGTCCCTCGAAAACCCGCGAATTGATATCAAAAATTTTCCACGCAGTTTAATGTAGGACACGGGAGCTAGATTGATGAGCCGTCCAGATGAAGTGATATATACAAGCCGGGCCAGGCTGGAGGAAGCCGCTCTCCGGGAATGAGGATCTTGGCTGGTTACCGATAGTGATGTGGGAAGGGACGTGGGAGTAGATGGCGGCCATGGAGTTATTTGATGCTGGAGTGAGAGTGGAGTGGTGGATTGGTGATGGAGTGTTGGTGGAATGATGCTGCAGTGATAATAGAGTGGTGTTGGAGTGATGCTGGAGTGACGGTGATGTGACACTGGAGTTGCTAGAGGAATTATGGTGGAGTAACGGGATACTCATGTGATACTGGAGGAGTGACGGTGAAGGGACGCTGGAGTAATGTAACGACTGCAGGAGGAGCAGGACGACGATGACGACGACGGTGTTGCTATGCGGTGTCGTGTCGTGTCGTGTCGTGTGGTGCGGTGCGGTGGCAGGGGACCCAGCTTTTATTGGTAGCCATGTCATGAAAATATTGGATTCACGTATTGGAAGTTTTACCTCCCCGTGTGATACAAGTTTGGTAAGCCGTGTTATGGACGTTTGCCGGTATGCGATACAACTTTTTAGACTCATGTTATTAAAACTATGTCTCTCGTTCTGTTGGTACGTTGAAGGAAACATTTTAGGTTTTTTTGGTTTTAATTCACTTATTTAGCTATTTGTTAATATATTATGGAGACTAAGGCCACAAAATTAAAATGTTTCCGCTTAGAGAGAAACTTTGTGTTGTCATGAGGGACGAAATTGCCTCATCTGATGAAAATTGTAACATTGTCGGGGAAGTTTTGCGGCCATACTCCCCAAAAAAGTTGAAGACACTAATCATTTATCACGTTATGAAAGTCGGGTAGTGAAGCCTCTTCCTTATTACCTTCTAGTTTGTTATACCCGAGAATACAACACTGACCTAATGCAGTTTACCTCCTCAAATGGTTTACGAATACACTTCTTCAAACGGTTTACACTTCCTCATGATTTACACTCCAAATGGTTTACACTTCCTCGTGGGGTTTACACTTTATTTACATATATAATTCACTTCGACTCAGGTAGGAAGTAAAGGGACGCAGACGTAACGAGAGAATAGATACGACTTGCTTTTGTGAGTGTTGTGTGGACATGGTAGCTGTTCTCACATAAGCTGACTCTGTAACATTTTGCCCTCACTTGTCTTCGCTTATCCTCACCTGTCCTCACCTGTCTTCACTGCAGGAGTCCCCCCAGTACGTCTACAGTTCAGGTGTTCGACGTTATCTTGATGCTACGAATTTATGCTCCAGTATGCTCACCAAGACGGTAATAATATATCTGTTGGTGCAAGAATCAGCGTCATGGCAGTTTTGGGTTTGTCTTTGGAGGAGTTCAGAGGTGATAATTTGGCCTTTTGGAGTACTTGTTGATGTCTCTCAGGCACACTCACTCCAAAAACAGCATCGTTGTTGACTCTGGACCCTCGAACTGATCCCTTTTAAGGTAGTCTGCTTGATTGTCTGTGCTGTGTTGTTAAAGGACTCACTGGATAGATAATATGTTAGTTACACCCGTTTATTGGTGTTATATTGTCGATAAAAAATAACGTAAGTAATTCTCTTTAGATCTTAATAATATGTCACATACGCCACACCTGTCACATACGCCACACCTGTCACACCCGCCACACAGTGTTGTCATGGTGTGTCAGAATGAGTTTATGTATGGTGGTATTTTTACACACAGACTGTAGCACGAAGAGTAAACTGAGTACCAAGGTTCCAAAGAATATAAAGGCAAATCAAAATAAAAACAAATTTGATGAGATTAAATATAAGAATGAATCTCCTATTTCATTACTATAGAAGAGACGAATAAATTTATAAATAGTTAAATAAGTAAATCGGATGAAATATTTAAAAAAAATGGACTAACACTTTCTGGAGACTTTAGTAATGGCAGTCACATATACGTTGTGAAGTAGTGTAAAGACTTCCTCTTAATATGCAAATTTATTCCTTTATGTAGATTTGACGTCATTGCTGCTCCTTTTTCCTCGAGTTTTTTCTTATTCTTGGCTGCCAGAATATCCTGGAGTGGAGAGACAAGATAAGACTGGCTAAGATTTACGTGGGGTGACATAAATTAGGCACGGTGGGTGGGAGGCCAATTAAGGAACCGCAAGTAGAGGTTAAATGTCCCTCGCTTCGCTCCTTGACTCTCTCTCTCTCTCTCTCTCACTCTCTCTCTCTCTCTCTCTCAGTTGTTCTGTCTGAGTGTCTTCTCTCTCCCTTGCCTTCTCTCTCTCCCTTGCTTTCTCACTTGGTTTTGTTGTTGTTTCTTCACCCAAAACACACACACACACACACACACACACACACACACTCAGGAGATACAGAATCTTAACCACACAAGCGTCTCGACCACTAACCATCTCCGCACCTCTAATCTCCCAAGACAGATGAGGATCCGTTTAAGACCCAGAACCCCTATACGATCGTGGTTGTGGACGGTCGTATTATAATTGTGCCAGCAGTAGTAGTCACACGCCACTAAGAGAAGCTTCAAAGCCTGGGAATAATCCTTTAAAAGTCTTTGCTGAAGTTAGTTCAAATCCACTTATCAGAATCAGCTTTTAAAGACCTTGCCATCCCCCCCTTACTCTCACCGGCCTCCCCCCGCTCTTCTTCCTTCACATCCACTCGTAGTCTTCAAGTTTAATGAGGTTTTAACAAGCTGATAACATCCCTGGTGACCTTTAACGGTGGGATGTGGGAGAGTGAGAGTGAAAAACATGCCTCTTTCTCCTGACGCTGTTCACACCGCAATATATGTGAGCTCGACGCAGGCGGTGGCGTTATTAGACGAGGAGCTCCGGAAGTTGCCTCAGGGGGTGTGGTTAGTGGGGAGAGGTGGGGGGGTTGAGATGAGGTGAGACAGGGTTGGTATGAGGGAGGAAGAAGGGAACTGGATAAGGAAGGGGTGAAATGAGGAAAGAAAGAGTAAGGGGAGAGAAGGCTAGAAGGAAGGAAGGAAGGGATGGGGACGGAAGGGGTGATATTAGAGGAGGGAGTGATAAAGGAGAGAAGAGATAAGATAGAAGAGGAGAGGTTAGGTTCATTTAACTTTAAGACGAATAATGTTATGATAAGAGACGTAAGGAATTGAGGGTGAGGAAGGACTCAACAGGAAAACACAATAATGGAGGTATAGGAGAGGAAAAGGACAACATTCAAGGAGAAAGAAAGAAAAGAAGGAAAGATAATTTAAGAGGAAACAAGTGAAAAACAGAAGAGACTGATACAGGCAATGTAGTAATGGAGATAAGAGGGAGAGGTGGGTGAGGGAAGATTAACGCCACTGGAGGAAGAAGAAAACCTACTCCAAGAATTTTTAAAAGATCGTGTTTAGGTTAAGTTAGGTTCAGGCGCCAAATTACTCACGTGACGTCAGTGTGTTGACTGTTCCATATCATTTTCCTCCATTTTCTTTCTTCACCTTTACTCTTTTATAATTCATCTTCACTCTTTATCTTTTCTTCTCCTCATCTGATTCCCCTTTTAAGCTCGTCTTGGGTACATCAAGATTATCTCGGTGTCATATTTTACGGAAAAATCGAAAGCTAACTAACGACTCTTTTGGCACGTTCTTCTCCCCACAGGACCTCCGCAGGCACCGACCCTCCACGGGTATAGTGAGGACGGCGGGATCAGCGTTGGGAGCCAGCAAGGGATCACCTGTGTTTCGAGGGGCGGCAACCCACCCGCTCACCTACAGTGGTATCGTAATGGACAGGCTATCCCCTCTCAGAAGCACAGAGTCAACGATGTGAGCACGGCAGAGATCCAGATCGTAGCTGAGCCCCAGGACAACGGGGCTCAGTACCGCTGCGAGGCCCACAACTCTGCCGCCGCGTCTCCAGTCAGTGTCTCCACCACCCTCGTCGTCAAGTTCCCCCCGGAGTCCGTCAAGGTAAACATAGCTTTTCTTCCTATAGGAGGCTTGTAAGGAGAGTTTCACAGCCCCTTTCAGTCTCATTAGAGATATTTAAAATTTTTTGCACGTCCTAAGAGAGTTTGGAAGTTCTCTTGAGCTCCTTAGGGAGAGTCGGTGTTTTGGAATGTAATGGGAGTGTTTGGAGACTTTTATTTGTGATTGGAGAAAGTCTCAGTTTTTCTAGGGAGAAAGTCTGTCTTAGGGGCGTCTGACTACAAAATCATTTAAATCTTTTTAAATTTGGAAAGGAATTTACATTATTTTTATTTTGAGAGATTGAAAAGTTATTGTAAAGCCTTATTTCTTTTCTGCCAAGATTGTTTTGGGAAATGATTCGCTGTATAGGGAGTGTTTGTGAGTATTTTGGAGTTCCTGTAGATAGTTTTATAACTTTGGTGATTCCCGGAGAGAGTTTTAGAGCCATTTAGATAAGTTGAAAGATTTCCCTTTTTTCGGTTAGCTCGAGGGAAGGTCACAGCTTTTATGGCCGTCTAATGAGTCACCTCCTGGGCAGTTGTTGTGAAGCCTCCACGACTCTGCCTGATTAGGGAGTTTTATTTTCTTGTCTTAAGGAGCTGGACCTTGACGATGAAGAATATTATGGTTTTCCAATTACACCCTCCATCATCCTGATAGCTTCTTGGAATTTTTTTTTTCCTTCAGTAATACCAGCGGGAGAATTTGTTCCTTCGTTTATGGAGGAAAACTTCAAGACCAATAAATCCATCCGTCATGTTTATTTTATTCACTGATTTTATTTATTTTTGTCACTGGTCAAGAAGTTGAAGCTTCCCCTCTTTAATGATTGTTCAGCTTTGTCTTTATTACTTCCCGATTGTGTAGCTGACGTCTGGGGCTCCCTGTAGCTCTGTAGGTGAAGTCTGGAGCTGCCTGTAGGTGAAGTCTTTATCCCATACTGGTCTTAGGCTCCCTGTAGCTCTGTAGGTGAAGTGTGAGGCACCTTATTGACATTCCTGCTTTCCCGCTTCTGTAACCTTCATTCCTCTGTCTCGGAGGGAAAATTTACTCTCAACATTCCAACACGTTTTTTATTTTCTTGCTTCGTGGTAGTGGAGACCTTGCTCACCTCTCCCATTGTTCTACTAAATTAGTTTCCTGGTGTATAGGAGAAGAGGAATGTATTAATCTAAAATGTTATGACTAATTTTTTTTTAATTTTAGTTGAATTTAAATAAAAATCTTTGGTGTGTAAGAAGGTTTAATGTTTTATTTATGTTTATTGTTGTCTTGTGAGCTTTGTTTTGCTAGGGGACAAGGAATGTGTTGATGTAAAGGAAGTCTAATTATTATTTTTTTAAGCATCGATTCAGTTGAAATATTCTTCTTTGATATGTAACTAGATTCAATTATATATATATATATATATATATATGTATATATATATATATATATATATATATATATATATATATATATATATATATATATATATATATATATATATATGTATGTGTGTGTGTGTGTTATTGTTTCCCTGATTCAGATATCATGTTACTTGTCAGCTATCACGTTCCGATTTCAGCTATCGTGTTCCTTGTTAACCTATAACACGGGACTTGTTACTTTCTCAGTTAACTACATCACTTGCCCAACAACTAAATGACTTGCCCACCAATTTCACGACTTTACCAGCATCACTTAACTTGCCCACCATCTACAGAACTTGCTCACGAATTTCACTACTTGCCCACCAATTTCACGACTTGCCCACCAACTACAGAACTTGCCCAACCACACCTATCACCCCAGCCATATCTATCTATTAATATCTTGTATGCGTTCCTCCTCAGATCACCGCCAGTCCTCAGCGTCTTAGGGCGGGTACCCAAGCTACACTCACTTGCGAGGCAGGCCCGTCCAACCCCCCAGCCACTATCAGTTGGCTCAGGGAGGGATATCAGATGCCCGGCCGACTCCTGGAAACCTCACACACAGCTAATGGTGGTAAGGGACTTTGTGATGCACTTGTATGAGAGAGAGAGAGTGTATGTATGTATGTATGTATGTATGTATGTATGTATGTATGTATGTATGTGTGTATGTATGTGTCTGTCTTTGTCTGGGATACAATAAATTAATCAGAGTACCATCTTTGTATCTGAGGGTTGGCGACCACAGTCCTCCACTCTAAATGTTTTCGAGAATAAAGGAACAATTGTGATCTTTATATAACACATTGTTAAGTGATCTGACAACTCTCCCATTAAAAAGATAACAAGACCTTTTTTTTTAATATTAGTTGAAGTTTGGAGTTGGATGTGAAATTGATGGAAAATAGGATATTATGTACAAGTTTTAGAGGAAATATAACCAAGTATGATTCTCCCTTATGTAAAACTAATAGGAGTTCCTTTAGCTTAATGAGAAAAATAGATATAATCTTAGTATTAACTGTAAGCCTTTTATTGCTGTTGACAGAAATCGGTAATACCTATTCTCTAGCTCGAAGGGAATTAGTCTGGGTGTGTTTTTTATACTGTCGACGGGAAGAGAAAATATCTATTTTATATCTTCAAGGGGATCACTGTGTATATACAGTATATATCATCAGAATCTTAGTCTATCATTTCTTAGCCAATTTTCAAAGACTCTGAAGGAAAAATCATCTAATGGCTTCTTTCACACTTGACATAAAGACATATCAGCCTGGTAGTGATTAGAGGAACTTCAAGGAGACTTTTTTGTTATTTAGTGGCACTTGGGAGGAAAATTAGGGGGGGGGATGCCCAGGTTTTATGTGATGTGATTAAGGATGATAGAGAGCTGTAATCACCCCCCTCCCACCAACTGACCCCCCCCCCCATATCGAGTCCATAGGGGGGTTTAAGGGTAGTTTATCTATGGCATTTGAAAGGCTTGAATAGACCCAATTGGCCAACTCACGATATTTTTCTAGACCATTGTGATAAATTATCCTTCATTGAGAGATGTACTTGCCTTATCAGATGGAAGGTTGAATAACTCGTCGAATGTAATCTGTCTGTCTGTTTCTCTTTTTTTTTAAATTTTTTACGTTTATTTTTGTTTTTTACTCTTGCCTCATGTTAGAGAAATTGAAGAAGGCTAAATTAAACATCCAATAATCTCTCTCTCTCTCTCTCTCTCTCTCTCTCTCTCTCTCTCTCTCTCTCTCTCTCTCAAATGATACTAACCCACACAACATCTTCCTCTCCGTCAGGCATGAAAGTCACCAACATGCTGACACTCAACCTGACAGCAGCTGACGATGGGCTGACCTACACGTGTCAGGCAGCCAACAGTGACCTCAACAAGAACGTTCGACAGTCCACTACGCTCCTCGTCAACTGTGAGTACATGAAACAAAATCATTATGTAGTGTATTTGAGATTTTTTTTTGGTGTGTGTGTTTGTATAAATATTACGATGTGCTTTTCTTGACGATGGGAAGAGGTGGGAAGGGATAATAAAGACGGAATAATAGAGAAACTAGAATTATTACAGTAGTTTATCGTGAGGATGGAAGAGGTGGGAAAGAATTAGTGACAATATAGAAACTCTAGTCTTAATATACTATAGTACCTTCCATATACAAGGTGTGTTAAAAAAATGTATACCAACTATCTGATATACTTCTGTGGTGAGTGTGTGAATGTTCGTTGTTAAACTAGCAACATTTGGCTTCCTCACTTGTTGATGTACGACCCCACACCAACAAGTGAGGAGGGACAATGTTGCTGGGTCATATAAACATACACACGATCGTCAAGGGAATCTGTATACGGGACACGGCGGCAAGGGTCCAAACGCCTCTTGAAATACGGCTTTTTACTTCATTCGGCATTACGTACATAATCCCTTCCACTAAGCGGGATATCGTTTTGTTATTTTACTCTCTCTCTCTCTCTCTCTCTCTCTCTCTCTCTCTCTCTCTCTCTCTCTCTCTCTCTCTCTCTCTCTCTCTCTCTCTCTCTCTCTCTCTCTCTCTCTCTCTCTCTCTCTCTCTCACTCACTTTTCCTGCCTTCAGTGTAAAAATGATTTGAAAGGTACGCGGTCGATCACGTAGCGAGAGAAATTCGACGATGCGAGTTTTCCAGGAGGACAGGTTGATTGACACCTGTCTTTAAATGAGTTCCAGTCTGAATTTGCTGGAAAACTGGAAGGGTTGTTGTGAGTGCCGAGGCAACGCTGGTTTATTCCTGTGTTGGAGGTGTGTGTGTGTGGGGGGGATGTGTGAGGGATGTGAATATGGGGATGTGCTAGGGGGTGTTAAAGGGGATGTGTGTGAGGAATGGGAAGGTATGTTAGGGATGTGAGGATATAAATTGAATTTGTTTTTTTAATTTTACCACAGACAGCTACTAGTTTATTGTGCACCCCATATTCATCCTGTGAGCGGTAACGCAAAAAGGATTACAGAGTAGAGGTCACAAAGGATGTTTATCAGACCCCAGTAGAGGAAATGGTGTGTGTGTGTGTGTGTGTGTGTGTGTGTGTGTGTGTGTGTGTGTGTGTGTGTGTGTGTGTGTGTGTGTGTGTGCACGCGCGTTAGTTCATGGTTGGATAAGTGGTTTGTTGCTTTGTGTTTATGTGTGTGTTTTGGTGCGTGGTTGAGTTATTTGTGAGTGTGTAGGCGTGTAGTTGTGTTTTATTGTCCTGATGGGAGGGATGGTGTGTGTGTGTGTGTGTGTGTGTGTGTGTGTGTGTGTGTGTGTGTGTGTGTGTGTGTGTGTGTGTCGGATTTTCATTACATACAGTATGTTTATGTAAGAAGAGAGAAATTTGTGATCACTTGTACCAACTTATTTCACCTGATAATTAAACACCCTAACCTTCTCTTGGGTAAGTTAGGTTTGGTTAAGTTAGCGCTGGTTAGGTTAGGTTGAGTCTGGGTTGGGTGTTTTAATCATCAGGTGAAATAAAGCTGGTACCTATATTCTTCAAGTAATCAGAAAGTTATTCAGTATGAAACTTGAATACTCTCCTCCGTCGATTTCTGTATCATGTGCTTCCGGCGACGCTCAGTATTTAACAATGACAACCAAACTCATTCACCTGAGGTTTTGTCTTGAGTTTACACTGAACACATACGTAAATTTACCCTGAACACGTACCTAAGTTTACACAGTATACTTACCAACGTTTACACTGAACACTTGCCCGAGTTTACACTGTACATTTACTCGTTGCGGAAGGTGCTCAGTGTTCACAGTAACAATAAAACCGGTTTATACACGACCTCTGCCATTATATCCACCCCCTCCTCCCCCGCCCACAACCCTCGACCTCCTCCTCCTCCTCCTCCCCACAACCCTCGTATATGATAGCTTACACAACATGACCCTTATCTAGTGTATACTGTTTATATATGTTAGATGAAAGTCGCTAAGATGATACTGATGGTCAGAGTGGAAAATCTTTTCTAGAAACATTTTACTTGGGAAGGAAATTTTATGATGAGAAACTTGTTCCTCAGATACAGACGAGAAATACTTGGTGGTTGTGTTCCTTGAGGGCTGTATATAGTTATTTACCTCCTACGTTATCTCTCTCTCTCACACACACACACACACACACACACACACACACACACACACAAAATGCAAACGACTATCGAGATTTTTCCTCTTGCAAAAACAAAAACAAAACAACAAAAAACAAGGAACGTCATCATGTTAATTCATGATAATATTCAGCAAATTAGACCCGTATCCCCAGCCACCATTTTGGTTCTGCTTATCGGTGCATTCCTCTTGCATCTGGCCACAGCTGCTGAAGTAGTTTCACCTGCTTTATGGTAATGGCAAGTTAGCTCAATTTATTTCCCCCAACTGAGAGATGTGAGTCCCAGGCTGGAAACACAGTGTAGTAGGAGGGGACTGGGGTCTGAGGAGGAGGGCTGGGAGGTTGGGTCAAGAATAAGGGCTGAGGGCTGGGATGGGGGCTGGTAATGAAGTCTTGTGGATAGTGAGGAAGCTGGAAGACATGGGATGGGTTAAGGCTGAGAGAGAGAGAGAAATCATTCCCTAGCTGACTAATCAAACCAGAACGTAAGATATAAAGTCAACAACATCAAAACCTACAAGACACATCAAAATATACTGTATATATAAAGGAAAATATATAATAATAATAATAATAATAATAATAATAATAATAATAATCCCAAAAGACGAGACGAAACACACAAGAAGAAGAAGATAATAATAATAAAAATGACCAGTGATTATTAACCCAGAATAAAACTTACCCGAAACACTTGTACCTCTCCCCACCTTTTTTTTTTGACCTCCCGGACACGGTAACTTCGCGCTTATGGTAATTACCCGCGATTCTCCGCCCTCAAGATAATGACGGTGAAGAAGCTCCGGCAGGTAGTGAGGGAGTCAAGGATGAGACGAGGGATTACATGGGAGAAAAAGGATGTTGTTGTGGGAGGGGATTTATGGGGGATTATTTCTAGGGTTTTCTATAAGGATTTTTTGGTTTATATTTCTGTCAGTTCGTCAGATTTTATTTCAATATATTCTTTAAAATCTGTGAATGTTAATCCTTATTGGGGATTAGAATTGGATTACCTGAATATTTGCTCCTTCGTCAAGTCTATTTCACCTGAAGACGAACTATCCTGAAGCTAACATAACTCTCAGGTAGGGTTAGGGTGTTTATTCTTCAGGTGAAATAACATTAGGACCCCGGGGACGAATCTTCAGGGGTAGGGGACGAATCTTCAGTAGGGGACGAATCTTCAGGTGGGGTGGAGACAAATCTTCAGGAGGAGGGGACGAATCTTCAGGGGTAGGGACGAATCTTCAGGTGGGTGGAGACAGATCTTGCTAGGAGGGAGGGACGAATCTTCAGCTGATCCTTAAATATTCACGGTGTTGTTCTGTCGTTCCTCCACACACTCGTCCATCCAATCGTCGGAAGATATTACAAAGAAGGAGGAAAAATAGTTGATATTCGTTGGTACATCTCTCTCTCTCTCTCTCTCTCTCTCTCTCTCTCTCTCTCTCTCTCTCTCTCTCTCTCTCTCTCTCTCTCTCTCTCTCTCTCTCTCCTCTCCATAGGGTCAAGGAGAAATAGGAAGTCATCACCTTTGAGAATTCTTGTTGTTTTGTGAATGTCTTTGTAGGGAGGGGGGGTTAATAGGAGGGAGGGGGGGAGGGGGTTAATAGGAGGGGGGGGGGGAATTAAGTAGGTGTGGTAAAGAGTAGAGGGGAGGAAGAGTAGAATATGTAAGACCACGAAAGAGAAGTTAAGCAGAGATAGAGTGTAGAAGAAGAATATAAGAAAGACGGAATAGAATAGAAAGTAGAAGTGGATAAAGAGTGGAAGAGGAGAATAGGGAAAAAATGGAAGAAAAAATATAAAGGTGGAAGAGAAGTAAGAGGTAGTCAAAGAGTGTAAGGAATTGATGGTGCAATTTGTTGGTTGTAGAGTTTGGCCTCGGAAATCTGACCCTTGTGTGTTGACGCCATAAGAGCGAAATTTCAGGAGTGTGTACCCCCCTCTCCCCCTCTCTATATCCCCCACTCACCCCCTCATCCTCTTTCCCTCTGCCCTCACCCTCCCTCTGCCCTCACCCTTCCCCTCTCCCTTCTCCCTTCCCCCCTCCTCCCTTATCTTTCGCCTCATCAACTTGTCAGGATAAAAGATAACCAATATGGACTGGTTAAATAATAGATTGCAAGATGGTCCAGATTAAGTAATAAATTGCTAGAGGTTCGCTTTTGTTGCCGTTTTGGAGGCTGGATTGCCAACCCCTCGTTTTTCCAGCCATCATTTGTTATAGAGATACATCAGGGCTTATGGTCCTCCTGCCGGGTTCGTAGGTGGGATAATTCACGTCTTGGCAGCAGGAAGAATCGACCTCTTGCCAGGAAGTCCTAAGGGTCGGGATCCGTAGGAGTGGAAGGAAAAAAAAAAGGCCAAGAAGGAGTAGCAGCACCGGATATGGGATCTAAAGTTTCCTGGATGAATTATAATCCTCTCCATAACCCTTAATGAAAGACGACCTACACTTCAAAGGCTCGTGAACTGGTCATTTAAGCTGTATGTTATAATGATAAATCGGGGCCTCTGTTGTGGCCGTGTGTAAGCTCACTGTATAAGCCGGGATCTGAACTTTCAAAGACTCGTCCAAACAGGTGCCCTAACGAGAGACAGAAAAACGCTGGTAATTGACTCATTTACGAAATAAAGATGGAAGCTAAAATGGCTTCTAAATTGCAGAGAGACTTTGACGACCTGAGACAGGATGAAAAATAACTTATCTTTGAGTTTACTGGTCCAGGACGAGGTTGTCACACACACACTAGTGGATGGTCAGGCCAGAAGATCAGTGA